TGTCAGCGTCTTCTCGCGAGGGCGTGGGCAAAGCGGATTACAGGCTTCATTTTTGTATTTTTAATAGAGATGGAGTTTCACTATATTGGCCAGGCTGGTCTTGAACCCCTGATCTCAAGTGATCCACCTGCCTCGACCTCCCAAAGGGCCGGGATTATAGACATGAGACGTCGTTGTCGGGCGAGCCCTCCAGAGACCGAGAAATGCCACAGCCAGGACCGTGGGGCGCAGCAGAATCGCCCAAGAGGCAGGGGCAGCCTGGCCAGAAGAGATTGGGTGAAGGGCCGGAAGTGAGGTGTGGAAGGGGAGAACGCAGGCAGCGAGGGCCTCGGGCGGCCACGGACGCCGCTTTTGCCATTTTGGGCGTTTTGGTGAAGGACAATGCGCGCAGGAAGCGCAGTCATCTCAAGCTGCTGACCTCCAAGGCTACCGGGTTCGAGGGCTGGAGTCGGGTCTGAAAGCCCCGACCCGCCTATGGCGTGGGCCCCCTCGCTCGGCCCGGTCCAGGCGCAGCGCTCGGGTCCCCGGGACGGTGAGATGCGGTGCGGCTAGCTTAGCTCGGGTTAGCGGCCACCCCAGCCCAGGTGCCGCCCAGCTACGCTCCACCCGGCCGGTTCCGCGACCCTGGGAGGGTCCGGTCCTTCCCTCGACCCCCAAGGCTACCGGGTTCGAGGGCTGGAGTCGGGTCTGAAAGCCCCGACCCGCCTATGGCGTGGGCCCCTTCGCTCGGCCCGGTCCAGGCGCAGCGCTCGGGTCCCGGGAACGGTGAGATGCGGCGCGGCTAGCTTAGCTCGGGTTAGCGGCCACCCCAGCCCAGGTGCCGCCCAGCTACGCTCCACCCGGCCGGTTCCGCGACCCTGGGAGGGTCCGGTCCTTCCCTCGACCCCTGCGACGCCGCGCCCAGGTGAGGCCCTGGGCTTCTTGCCGGTGACCACGCGGCCAGGGTGGCCCCCAGCCCAGGACGGCTACCAAGGGCGGCCCAGCCCCATCCCCGCGCTGTGGGTCCCGGAACTGAATAGCCGGGAGCTGGAGCTGCCTGAAAACATGGCGGCGGCGCCCGGGCGCCTCCCCGGGTCCCGGGTGTCAGCGTCTTCTCGCGAGGGCGTGGGCAAAGCCGGTGCCGTCCGATGACAGGCGGCGAGAACAACCCAGATCCAGACCCGCGCGGCGAACAGTGCTGGAACCCCAGGCACCGGCCACGCCCCAAGAGGAACCAAGGCCCGCCCTGTTGCCGTGGCGACAGCCACGGGGGTGGACGCAGGCGCCGCAGGCCGTGAGCGCTCGGCGCAGGCGCAGTAGGCTGCGGGGGGGGGGTGAGGCGCATTGCGTGCGCGTGCGCACTGCGCACACCCGGACGGCTCTGTGCGCAGCAATGGCTGCCCGCGAGTCTCGGAGAGGCGGTGCTCTAGGTCTTTTTCAGGACGGGCTCTCCTGATGCCGCTGGTGGTTCTTCGAGGCCTCCTTCCACGCATTCGCCGCCGCTGCCTCATCAGAACTTCATTTCGGTGACGCAGAACTTTGGAGAGAGCTACGGCAACAGCAAGAGCTGCCGGCGGCGCCTGTGCTGCAGGGTGAGGGCCGCGCCGGACTGACCGAGGCCAGGGGCAGCTGTACCCACCGCCCTCCCAGCCTGCGGTTCCCAGCGGGGCCTGGGCGGGCGGACTCGACTCCCTCGACGCTGCCCTCTCCACCCCTTCCCCGCGAAAAGGGGCAAATGTGCTAATGGGCTTTCCGGGCCGGGGCATCCGTGGTCGGCGCGTCTGCACCAGTCTCAGCGGCCCGAATTGTGCGGGGCGGTGGTGGCGGGAAGAGGGAGCCCCAGCAGGTTGTCTGTTGCTTTTCTGCCCAGGCCCCGGTCCCTCTTGGAGCGGAAACCTCTGGACCTGGTGCTCCTAAGAAGGCAAGCGGCCCCTGACGCTTACTGTGGCCTGGTGTGACCCTCGTAGCCAGCCCCTGTTCTGTGAGGCATGAAGCTCCACGCAGACGCCACGATAAAGTGAGATGAACCAAGACCTTTTCTTGATTCTAAGCAAGGAACGCACAGCTCACCCTGTCACGTGCAGCGAACATAAGCTGAGAATTACCCTCTTACCTTCCCACAGCGTCTAATCTTTTTTTTTATTTTATTTTTTATTTTTGAGACGGAGTCTCGCTCTGTCGCCCAGGCTGGAGTGCAGTGGCCGGATCTCAGCTCACTGCAAGCTCCGCCTCCCGGGTTCACGCCATTCTCCTGCCTCAGCCTCCCGAGTAGCTGGGACTACAGGCGCCCGCCACCTCGCCCGGCTAGTTTTTTGTATTTTTTAGTAGAGACGGGGTTTCACCATGTTAGCCTTAGCCAGGATGGTCTCGATCTCCTGACCTCGTGATCCGCCCGTCTCGGCCTCCCAAAGTGCTGGGATTACAGGCTTGAGCCACCGCGCCCGGCCTAATCTTTTATTTTTATATTTTTGAGGCAAGGTCTCCCTCTGTCGCCTAGGCTGGAGTGCAGTGGCGATCACGGGCCACTGCGGCCTTGACCTCCTGGGCTCCAGCGTGCGTCTAATCTAGAAGCAAATCCTCTTTCCTTAGATCATCCCCCAAATCACCCAACTACAGGTGAAATCCTGTAATAGTTTCCTCGGAACACCCTGTTGCTGACACCTCACTGTCTTAGCCTGGTGTGTTTGTACACAGTGCATACAGTAAAAGACCCAAGTTGTTTACCTACAGGCGTGTTTGCAGTGGTCTTTGGCTGAAGGGCGTTATAGACTCTCAGTCGGAGAGTCACTGAGATTCAGCTGAGACCCTCAACTCAGAGCATGCCTGTCTGAGTCCCTTTTGTGTCTGTCTCTGGGGGCGCGAACTATTCTTGGCTGGGAAGAAACAGGCATATTCTTTGTTTCATTCTCCTTGAACGCCTACCGTGGCCAGTTCCCGTTTTAGTTCTGAGTGTGCAGAGATGAATAAAACAGATTTGTAGGAGAGGCTGGTGAGAAGCGAGCCACAGACGGGCAGAGGCAGGTGGCATATGTGCGTCCTGTGTGGAAAAGAGCAGGGCCCTGGGGAAGAACAGTGGCTAGTCCTGAGGGCAAAGGGGGCGCCATGGCACTGAAGGCGAGATCTCAGGGCTGAGAAGCTGCTGGCAGGGCAGGGTGGGGAGAGGCTCACTTGAACCTGAGCGAAACTGCTTGAGGCAAGGAGGACCTTGGCATATTTGGGACGGTGAAATTCCCAGGGCTGGGAGATGGAGTGAGGGTTGGCTCAGTCCAGCCATGGTCCTGCAGGTCCTGGAGGTAAGGAAGGAGACCACCATTTCTCCTGCTGCCCTCTTCTCCCCACCTTGCCTGGTTTATAAGACAGAAAAGGGAGAAATCAAAAGGTTGGAAAGAAACAGAAGATAAATAGCCAGACGACCTTGGTGCCACCACCTGTCCCTGGTGGTTAAAATAATAATAACATCAGCTCCTGACCTGAACTACTTGTGTTATCTGTAAATTCCAGACATTGTATGAGGAAGCATTGTAAAACTTTCTGTTCTGTTAGCTGATGCATAGCCCCAGTCACATTTCCCGTGCTTGCTCGTTCTATCACGACCCTTTCACGTGGACCCCTTAGAGTCGGAAGCCCTTAAAAGGGCCAGGAATTTCTTTCTCAGGGAGCTCGGTACTTAAGACACAAGTCTGCCGAAGCTCCTGGCCAAATGAAGCCACTTCCTCCTTTAACCCAGTGTCAGGGATTTTGTCTGCGGCTTGTCCCGCTACAGAGGCAGCATGGAGTGTTCAGTTGATATACATGGGAAGATTTTGGTGTGGACTGGGTGTCTGAGATGTTTACTGCGAAACTACTCTGGCTGCTGGTTGGAGACACAGTGGAGGGCAGGAGGCCAGGAGAGCTGCCTGGCTGTGGGAAAAGCTGAGTGGGGGGAGGAGGGCTCCACAGGAGTGGCCTTGGGAGAAGGAGGGCGGGTCTCCGGGTGGAGGGGCCAGCACAGGCTGCACAGGCTCTGGCTTGGGGACACTGAGGAGCTCTGTTTTGGATCTGCCCACTGTGAGATGCCTGGGAGGCACCATGGAGACCTTGGTGGGCAGCTGGTGCCGGTATCAGAGTCTGCCAGGGGAGACAGGTTTTAGGAGTCCCTGGTACAGGTGGTTTGTGTCGTCTGGAAAGGTTGGAAGAAGGGGTCAGGCCTAATCTGGGTGCCACCAGGCTGAGAAGATTGGGGTCAGCGGGGAGGGCAGGGGCAGCCAGAGAACCAGGAAACACCTCGTTGAAGATATGGTTCAGGAAGGAGAATGGCCAAATTCCAGATGCTTTTGAGAAGTAGATTTAAATAGATTGAAAGTAAAAGGATGGACTGGGCACAGTGGCTCATGCCTGTAATCTCAACTTGGGGAAGCCGAGGTGGGAGGATCAAGTGAGGCAGGAAGTTCAAAAGCAGCCTCGTGAAAATAGTGAGATCCCATCTCTACAAAAAATAAAATAAATTAGGACCTGTAGTCCTAGCTACTCAGGCAGCTGAGGCAGGAGGATTGTGGGAGTCGAGGAGTTTGAGGCAGTCATGAACTATGCACCACTGCACTCCAGGCTGGGCAACAGAACAAGACCTCATTTCAAAATAAAACAAAAAATTATTACATGATATAAGGACACTACATAGTAATAAAAGGGTCAATTCATGAACAAATTATAGCAATTATAAAGATGTATGTACCGAGAACAGCTCCCAAAATATATGAAGCAAACATTGGCAGAATTGAAGACAGAAATAAGTTCTACAATAATAGTTGTAGATGTCACTCAACCTATTTTAATAATGGAAAACTTACCTAGGTGGCAGATCAACAAGGAAATAGAGGGTTTGGACAGTGCTAAAATCTTTTTTTTTTTTTTGAGACGGAGTCTTGCTCTGTCACCCAGGCTGGAGTGCAGTGGCCGGATCTCAGCTCACTGCAAGCTACTCCTCTCGGTTTACGCCATTCTCCTGCCTCAGCCTCCCGAGTAGCTGGGACTACAAGCGCCGCCCACCTCGCCCGGCTAGTTTTTTTTTTGTATTTTTTAGTAGAGACGGGTTTCACCGTGTTAACCAGGATGGTCTTGGATTCCTGACCTCTGTGATGTCCGCCCGTCTCTGGCTCCAACAGTGCTGGGATTACAGGCTTGAGCCCACCGCGCCCCGGCGACAGTGCTAAAATCTTAACTAGACAGGACAGACACGGAACACTCCACCCAACAACAGAGAATACACATTTTTTTAAGCACATGGAACATCCTCCAGGACAGACCATGTGTTAGGCCACATATTAAATATAAATTAAAATATATTAAAAGAAATTTTAATACATTTTCTTTTTTTTTTTTCTTTTTTTTTTTTCCTTGCTTTGTTGCCCTGGCTAGAGTGCAGTGGCGCGATCTCAGCTCACCGCAACCTCTGCCTCCTGGGTTCAAGCTATTCTCCTTCCTCAGCCTCCCAAGTAGCTTTTTTTTTGTTTGAGACGAGAGTCTCGCTCTGTCCACGCCAGGCTGGAGGTGCAGTGGCGCGGCGGATCTCTGCTCTCACTGCCAGCTCGCGCCTCCTGGGTTCATGCCATTCTTCCTGCCTTCAGCCCTCCCGAGTAGCTGGGATACGGCGGCCATGCACCGAGGCCACAGCTAATTTTGTTAACTGTTTTGTAGAGACGGGGTTTCAACCGGGTTTAGCCAGGATGGGTCTTCGATGTCCTGTGCCTGTATCCGCCCGCCTCGCCTGCATAAGTTGCTGGGCATTACAGGCTTGGAGCCACGGGCGGCGGCCCTGTGTCTTACTTTCGTATGTCTCTTCGCTCCTGCACATGAAGAGAAAAGGCCACAGGCCCAGTAGGCTGCGACCCTAGTAGTCTCGCAATTCTGACTCGGGTGATCGCTCGCATTAGCCTCCCAAGTGCTGGGATTACTAGAGGTGCAGCCACCGTGTCCAGCCAACTTGTTCTTTTTCAAGATTGGTTTTGGCGTCGGCTTAGGGAGGTACTAACATCTTAACAATGTTTGTCTTTCGACCGCATGAACCGAGGCGTCCCTCTGCACTCTATTTAAGGTTTCCGTTAATTTCTTTCAGCCATGTTTGTAGTTCCAGTGTACAGGTTTTCACCTTCGTCCGTGGTTAAATTTATTCCCTTGGGGATTTTACTCTTTTAGAAGTGGTTGTTGTAAATAGAATCGTGTTTTCTTCATTTCCCATTTGGGACGTTCGTTGCAGGTGCACAGAAACGCAAGGTGTTTTTGTTGATACTATGCCC